TTCTTTCTTTCTTTCTTTCTTTCTTTCTTTCTTTCTTTCTTTCTTTCGAGACAAGGTCTCCCTGTAGTCCCAGCTGGCCTGGAATTCACTATGTAGACCAAGCTAGGCTTGAACTCACAGAGATCCACCTGCTTCTGTCTCCCGAGTGCTGGGAGTCACCACACCCAGCTTCAATTCCTAGTATTTCAAAAAGAAAAAGTGGAGGGGAATGTTCAGATGTGGTAATTCATGCTTATAATGCTGGCAATTTGAGAGGCTAAAGCATGAGGGTCAAAAGTTCTAGGCCAGGCTGGGTTATATATAGAGACCCTGTCTTGAAACAAACAAACAAACCAAGATCCAAAAGTCCATATTAATGATAATTAAATAATTATTTTTTAACCCTGAAGGTAGCATATGTAACTTTATTTATTTTTTTTAAATTTTATTTTATGTGTATGAGTGTTTTGCTTGCATGTAAGTACATTTGCGTCGTGCAATGTTCTACAGAGGCCAGGAGGCCAGAAGAGGGTGTTGAATACCCTGGAACTGGAGTTACAGATGGTTGTCAGCCTCCCATGTGGGTGCTGGGAACTGAACCTTGGTCCTCTGCAAGAACAGTCAGTGGTCTTAACCATAGAGCCATCTCTCCAGTATGCATGTGTAACTTTAATCTACAACTTGGAGTGTGTATTCCAAAGAGTCCCTCTATTTCTTCAGGTGTCAGAGTCTTGTTTTCCCTTTGATATCAGAGACTGTGCCCCCACTCCCAAGGACAAGCCCCGCTGGAGGTCTGGTCTGTATCTTCAGGAGACTCAGTCACCGTAAGAGTGTATGTAACTTCAGCAGCTTGTTCTATATCCTCTGCTTTGAAACAGAATCTCCCAGACAAACCCCTTACCCTTTAAAAGTACTTGATATATTATTTCACTGTGGTGTCAAAGGTAATTAGGATAACTTTTTCCCTATGATCAGTGGGTTAGTGATCATTTACCAAAGCTAGGGACAGTCACTAACTCTGACTTCTACCAAACCAGAGCGAATCCATGGTTCTTTCACGAGACTTGGTGTTTATTTATATATTTTTGTTTGATTTATTATTATTATTATTATTATTGACATTTTGATGTCTCTATAGCCCTAGCTGACCTGGAACTCACTATGTAGACCAGGCTGGCCTCAATCTTAGAGATTTGCCTACCTCTGCCTCCCAAGTGCTGAAATTAAAGGCATATGCCACCATGCCCAGCTTGTGTTGTTTTTGAGACAAAGCCTCACCATGTAGCCCTGGCTAGCCTGGAACTTCATATGTAGACCAGTCCTGCCTTGAACTCATAGAGATCCTCCTGTCTCTGTGCTGGGATTAAAGGTGCATACTACCATACCTGGCTAATATTTTTTGGAAGATTTATTTTTTTATTTATATGTATGAGCCTGAGTTTATATGTACTACATGAGTGCAGGTGTATGATGAGGCCATAAGAGCCTGCCTGGTGTGGGTGCTGAAAACGGACCTCAGCAAGAGCAGTACTTGCTTTTAATTGCTGAGTTAACATCCAGCCCCTCACGTTTTTTTTTTTGTTTGTTTTGTTTTGTTTTCATTTGAATACAGGAAGTTACACACAGAATTGAGTAGCTTTCCAGCAGAGGTTTATTGACAGAATCTTGCTATAGTCCAGGCTGGTCTCAAATACTAGATACTTCCACCTCAGTCTCCTGAGTGCTGGGATTATAGCATGTGCCACTATACAACAGACTTTTCAGAAATCTCATCAACATGCCTTGGGCTTTGGAACTCAATAACAAGTTGTCCTACTCTTAAGGACTTTTACTGTGTATGGTTCAAGAATACTGGAACTGGAGGAAATCCTAAGAACCTGGGGGGGCCAGCGAGATGGCTCTCAGGTAACCACCCAGCCTGACAATTGGGTTTGACCCCCAGGACCCACATGGTGGATGGAGAGAACTGACTCCTGCAAGTTGTCCTCTGACCTCCACATGTATGCTGTGGTACATGTGTGCTTACACATACACACGTACCTCCACAAATAAATGTAATAAAATATTTTTTAAAAATAAGAACTACCTGGAGAGCCACATGGGGTGGAATATGCCTGTAATCTCAACACTTAGCAGATGGAAGAGGAAAGTTTAAAGTTCATGGTGATTCTCAGCTATATATTGAGTTTGAGGTCAACCTGGGCTACAGGAGTACTTTGTCTCAAAAAACAAAACAAAGGTGGGGCATAGCGGTGCATGCCTTTAATCCCAGCACTCTGGAGGCACAAGTAGATGGATCTCTGTGAGTTCAAGGCCAGTCTGGTTTACATAGCAAGTTCCAGGCCAGCTGGGGCTACAGGGCCTCAAAGAACAAAAGCAAAAACAAACAAAAACCCAAAAAATCCCCCAAACAAAACAGAGGAACAAAATCTTCACTCTGACTTTTCACTAAATTCAACTGCCCTCCCATCCCTTCTGTCTGATGAGACAATTCTCCTGTTTCCGGCTCACTAGCAGGCTACATTTCTTCTCTGCAAAGAGACTATCAAGTCAGGGGAAGATTAACCTATTACTTCCTGAATAGCATGGGGGATGCACCTGCTGAGGGACAGACATTCCTAGAGAGAACACAGCCTCTTTTCTTACCCATTGCCTCTCTGTATGGTTCTTACCACTTAAAGACGAGGTTGAACCAGTCTCCGACCACTGCTACCCAGAGGAGCTTGATGCCCACTATTTCTTGAAGATGGAACCAGATGGGGAAGAGAACATAGAAGGCATTCCTGAGGTCAGCGATTCTAGACACTAAGACGAACCAGTCCTCGGAGTCTTGGTAATTCACCTGGAGGTAGTGAGTGGACCGGATTCCAAAGTCATGGAGAGTGTTCATTCCTTCCTCCATCTTCATTCCCTTGGTACCTCAGGAAGTTTATAGCAGAGCTGTGCAGTACTTGTAGGCTTCGTGATGACTGCTCTCCTATCAGTCTGTGCCTTGACCCTGTTTTATACGCCCTGTATCCAGTCAACCCAGCCCTGATCTTTGGACTCAAAAACTACTTTTGTCTAAAATCTATTGATCAAAGGTGCATCATCAGGACGTTGATGTAAACATGTTCAGGGTGATTTACGTAAAATAGCAAAACAGGCACACAAAAACAGCCTGATCGGCCATTGGCAAGGCCAATTATTAACTTGGGCATGCTGCTTAACAGTGCAAGGGGCTGCCCTCCTGGTCTCTGAAACCAGGTCAGAGGCACAGGGCAGAGTTTATTTCTGCCATGGTGCCTTGCAAGGGTGTCTGCTTTTCTAAGTCTCCTGCTGTGCTTATTGGGAGACAAAGAAAAGTCTTACTACTGCTATAGGAGAAATGGCTCACCGGTTAAGAACACTGACTTCTTGCAGAAGACCCGGGTTCAAATCCCAGCACCCACATGGCAGCTAACAACTGTCTGTAACTCCAGTTCCAGGGACCCCGACAACCTCTTCTGTCCTCCTCGGGCATTGCACGACACAGGCACATTTACCTACATGCAGGCATAACACTCATACACATAAAATAAAAAGAATAAATAAATTAAAAAAATAAAGTATACAAAATAGGGACTGAAGAGATGGCTCAGCAGTTGAGAGCACTGGTTGCTCTTGCAGAGGACTCAGGTTTGGTTCCCAGCACCCATACAACAGTTAACAACTGTCTCCAACTCCAGTTCCAGAGGATCCAACACCCTTTTCTGACCTCTGCAGGCACTGCACATACATACATGTAAGCAAAACACTCATATATAAAGTAAAAATAAAAATTAAAAATACAAAATATACAGTAGTAGGTTCTGTTGTGCTGGGAACTGTCAATTTGTTGGTCCTTTGTCTACCTCTGGTTTGGGAAAACAGCTATCTTTTGTTTTTTGATCTTTTTGAGACGGGGTCTCCCTGTAGCTCCAGCTGTCCTGGATGGAACTCACTGTGTAGATGAGGCTGGCCTTAAACTCACAGAGATCCACCTGCCTATGCCTCCTGAGTGCTGGGACTAAAGGTGTGCGCCAACACGCCCAGCACAACTATCTTTTCAATATTCATTCCGTGTCTTTTAGGGCAAGAAAACAATCATTAAAAAAATTTTTTTTTACATTGCCTTCAATTCCAACACTTAGGGAGGCAACTGGATGTCTGTGAACTGAGGCCAGCCTGGTTTACATAGTGAGTTCCAGGACAGCCAGGACTACATAGTGAGAACCTGTCTAAAGAAAAAGAATTTTAAAAATATTTTATTTATTTTATGTGTATGAGTGTACTGCCTGCATGTTTGTAAATGCACCTGGGTCCTGCAATACTCATGGAGATCAGAAGAAGGCATCTGATCCCTTGAAACTGGAGTTACAGACAGTTGTTAAGTGTCATGTGGGTGCTGGGAATCAAACCTGGGCCCTCTGCAAGAGAAGCAGTGCTCTTAACCACTGAACCATCTCTCTAGCCCCAAGGAAAAAAATTACGTTTATTTGTTTGCTTGTGTGAGAGTGTGTGTAGGCACATGCATGTAGTTGCCACAATGTGGGTGTGGAAAAACTAAAGGACAACTTTCAGAGATGGGTTTTCATCTTCCACCATGTGAGTTGTAGGGATTGATTTCAGATCATCAGGCTTGGCAGCAAACACCTTGACCTTCTGAGCCATCTCACTGGCCCTAAAGCAATCTTTTTTTTTTTTTTTTTTTTTTCCTTTTTTGGTCTTTTCGAGACAGGGTCTCCCTGTAGCCCCAGCTGTCCTGGAACTCACTATGTAGACCAGGCTGGCCTTGAACGCACAGAAATCTGCCTGCCCTGCCTCCTGAGTGCTGAGACTAAAGGCGTGTGTCACCACACTAGGCGCATTTTTAAAAAATTTTTTTTTAGGCTCATTTTTAAAAATTATTTTTATTTTTTTGTGTATTTTTTTTAATGTGTATTGCTTGCATGTAGGTAAGTGCACCTGTGTCATTCAATGCCTGCGGAAGACAGAAGAGGCTGTTGGATCCCCTGGAGTTATGGACAGTTGTTAGCTGCCATGTTGATGCTGGGATTCGAACCCGGGTCTTCTGTAAGAACAGTCAGTGTTCTTAACCGCTGAGCCACCTCTCTAACCCTCAAGTGCATTTTTTAAATGCAGTGATTAATTCATTTAATTACCTTAAAGTTAGGACCTTTGTGATTTTAAAACATAAGGTGTTTTTTTTTTTCATTCTATTTTAAAGAAAGAAAGAAAAAAAAAAAAAAGAGCCATGTGTAGTGGCCCATGCCTTTAATCCCAGCATTCAGGAGGCAGAGGCAGGCAGATCTCTATGAGATCAAGGCCAGCCTGGTCTACATAGTGAGTTCCAGGCCAGATGGGGCTATAGGGAGACCTTGTCTCAAAAACACACAAAAAAAGGTTATTTTTTTTTTATATTTGTCTTTGAATGTGTATGGTGCTAGAAATCCAAACCAGGGTCTCATGCATATTAGATAAGCTTGCCACCACTGACCTACATCTCTAGCTCAATGCATAACTTTAAGCAAAAGAACAAATTCCGTTCATCCAACAGCAATAAAATAAATGTGACATGTGACGATGTAAGAAATTGATAAACTGGGGACTCTGGAAATAAAGTTAGACATTTTTAGGCTTTTTTTTTTTTTCGAGACCTTGAACTTCTGATCTTACTGCCTACCAGGTGCTGAGGTCATAGATACGTGCTACCACATCAGGCTTATGTGGTGCTGAGGATCAGACCCAGGGTTGTGAGCATGCTAGGTATTTACTCCACCAACTGACCTACAGTCTTTGCCCATCTTAGTTATTTTTGGAAAAAGGATTTAGTATGTCGATTATTCTTTCATATTTTTTTGTCTTTTTGAAGCAGGGTCTCCCAGTAGCCCCAGCTGTCCTGGAACTCACTATGTAGACCAGGCTGGCCTTGAACTCACAGAGGTCCGCCTGCCTCTGCCTCCCAAGTGCTGGGACTACAGGCATGCACCACCATGCCTGGCTCATATATGTTTTTAAATTTTTTTTCTTATGTGTATGAGTATATTGCCTGCATGTATGCAAGTGCACCTGTGTCATGCAATGCCCCAAAAGGTCAGAAGATAGTGTCAGATTCCCTGGAACTGGAGTTACAGTCAATTGTTAGCTGGCACGTGGGTGCTGGGAATTGAACCTGGGTCCTCAGCAAGAGCAGTCAGTGCTCTTAACTGCTGAGCCATCTCTCCAGCTCCCTCTTTTATGTATGTTTATATGAGAAGTTGCAAGCAAGGGACAGACCAAAAGCCTTACTCTTGGGTCACAGAGGACTCCAAAGGGATCAGGGAAGTGAATTAAGCGACAGATCTATGAATTTTCAAGGGTAGAGCCAACAGGAATTAAACATTAAAAAACCCACCTGGATTTTCCCAGCAGTAGGTACACACTGACTGTAATGTAAGGGACAGTGAGTAGTGAGAAGAAACTCAAGAAGTCCTGGGTTTGTAGAAAAAGTTGACTGTATTTTGTGCTGGATATAATTGAAGCATCTTCCAGGATGTGCTTTGCATCCTGGAGGTGAGAGCTGGAGGCTGTCACCACCCCCATGGGTTGCCTGCTATCTCAAGCAGACTCTACTTGCCCTTGACCACACTGTCTGCTAATCTGGAGCAATACTGAGGTGGTACTGGCTCTGGGTGGCTGCAATGGAGGCAGGTTTCCAGTGGTGTTGGGAGGCTGGGACTCTAGTGTCCTGCATTGTCAGGACTTTGAGGCTGCAGGGAGTAGGCCTCAGCAGAAGAGATAGCCTCATCACTCTACCAGATTAAGTGTTTCTAAAAAGTATGGAGTAATGACTATGATGATCCTGGGACTGGAGTTTCTATGGACTGAGGTGAATTGAGGACAAACAGCAGAATAGAGCAAATCCTCTGACAAAGCATCCAAAGGCCACCATCTGGGTCTCTGCAGCATGAGGAACTAAGATCACCTGTCTGTCATGTGCTCAGCATATGGAGAACAAACCAAGTGCTTTTATCTTCAGAGGAACCTCAGGAGAATGCTCATGCTGATAAGGGTGAGCTCTTCTGTTCTAGAGTGCAGAGGCTGTGGGAGTCTCTGTGGCAGGCTACCTGCTAGATGGGGCGGGGTGGGGGGAATTCCTCTTGGCCAGCTGTGAGACTATTTGCTAGACCTTTGCTAGATCTTTTAACCTCCCAGGCTCTTCTTGCTTCCTCTAGCAAATTTTAATCATGTGCAGAAAGAGGTGAATCCCAAAGGATATAAGCCTGTTGGAAACCTGACTAAAGAGACTGTGCAGCCTCCAGGGTCATAAGGGGGCAAATACCATGGACAAAGCATGTGGGTTCCCGGAGGCTTTGTTAAGTATCTAGTTGTTTAAAGAGTTATCCTAGCACAAGGTGGGCACAGGATTGTAAGTTCAAGACCAGCTTGGGCTATGTAGTGACACCTTCCCTCAAAAGAACAAATAAGGGGCTAGAGAGATGACTCAGTAGTTAAGAGCACTGGCTGCTCTTGCAGAGAACTCAGGTTTGATTCCCAGCATCCCACATGGTGGCTGACAACCATCTGTAACTCCAGTTCCAGGGGAATCCAACATCTTCTTCTGACCTCCTTGGGCATTGCACAACAGCGGTGCACTTACACACATGTAGGCAATATACTCATACACATAAAGTAAAAATGTAGCATAAACTGAGTGCTCCTTATATTGAAATGTCTCTCTTTGTACAAATGCCAGTGAACTTCTTATTATGAGCCCTCAGTGGTGAAGACTCTGGATGTATTAATGCCCAATGGGAGGTACCAGCAAAGGCTGGAAAGCAACAAAGATGGAAAATGACTTGGGCCTCTCTCTGTTAAGTATACTAACTAGCAGGTCCCTCTCTGGACATTTTCTCCACAAACAGAAATCCAGAAGTTTGGGGATCTTGGTTTGGAAAGAACATGAAGGAAAGGGGGCCAAGAAGTATAGTC